ACGGATGGGCAACTTGGACATTGGCTACCCAAAATGGGGGTGCTACAAAGGCAAGAAGTGACTGGCTTACAAGCTTTCAAGAGGGAGCCTAGATCCAGAGGGCATGGAGGAAGGTAGAATCTCCCCTGAGTAGTATCCAATCTGTCTGGGTGGAGATGTGGATAGCCCTCATGTGGTACAATAGTGAATAAGTGTTATCAGGACTGATTCCGAGGGTTGGAAATGTAAAAGCAGACATTTTATAGCAAAAGGAGGGGAGTGGTTGACTTTGCAGTCCAGGAGCAGAGGGTCCTGGGACCATCAAGGGAGAAGAGCTGAGTGTGGGACCCTACCTAGAGAAACAGTGACACCAGAGATGGAGGCAGAGACAATGACGTGGAGAGATGAAATGGGTGGGAACTCTAGACACAGACAGGGAGATGGGCTGTGTGCTGACTACCAGGGGATAGGCTTGCAGAGCCTTTGGTTGGTTGATGATGCATGGAGGGGATTGTAAGCATAGCAATGAAACGATATACGACAGGATGAATGTAAGGCTAATGTTCTCCCATGTAAACTATCACATAATTCACAATAAAACTTAAAAAAAAAAAAAAAGACTTGTTTAAATATCAAAGAAGTCACTTTGAGGAATAAGGTGCACATGATGCAGGCAATAGTATTTTTAATCACTTCACTGGCATGTGAAAGTCTTCCTTTAATAAGGAAGACTAAAGAAGAATTGATGCATTTCAATTATGTTGTTGATGAAGAATTTTTAATATACCATGGACTGCCAGAGAACAAACAAATCTGTCTTGGGAGAAATACAGCCAGAGTGCTCTTGAGAAGGGAGGTTGGAGAGATTTGTCTCATGTACTTTGAACATGTGATCAGGAGGGACCAGTCCCTAAAGCAGGATAAGATTCTTGGTAAAGTAGAAGGTCAGCAAACAAAGAGTAAGATCCTTAGTGAGACGGAGTGGCATTAGCTGCAACAATGGACAGTCTTTCCTTCTGTTGTACATAGGGAGCTATGACTGGGAACTGACTCAAACACTCCTAACCATAAATGGTATTTCTGTTTCTAGCTTTTAAATGAAGCTCCATACCATTTTCCACAATGGTTGTACCATTGTACACTCATAAACATTTTTTTGTTTTCTGTTTTTTGATCATTGCTATAATTGCTGGGGTGAAATTATATCTCATTGCTGTTTGATTTGCATTTCTCTAATGATGAGGCTTTCTGCTCCTGCAAATAGTTACAGCCTCAGAAACTCTATACAGGGTCACTATGAGTCAGAAACAACTCAACAGCAAACCACCACCACCACCACCAGTGGCCAATGATTGCAAGCATCTCTTCATATATTTGTTGGCTATTTGAATGTCTTCTTTGGGTAAGTGTCTGCTGATGTCCTTTGCCCATTTTAAAAATTGAATTGCTTGTCTTTTTTGCTGTTGAGGTGTTGAAGTTTTCTGTACAACTAACAGTAAAAAATATGCCAAAAATTTTTTTCCCAATTGATAAGTTCTTATTTTACTCTTTTGGAGAAGCCTTTTGATGCATATGTGTTTAATATTTAAGAGGTTCCAGTTATTTATCTTCTGCTGTTGTGAATTTTAAATTATGTTTAGTAGACTATTTATGGCATAACTAAGGGCCCATAAGTTTGCTCCTATTTTTTCATCCATAATCTTCATAGTTTTAGGTTGCACATTTAGGTCTTTGACCCATCTTTAGTTTTTGTGCATGGTGTCAGGTATGGGTCCTGTTTCATTTTTATGCAAATAGATATCCAGTTTTGCCAGCACCATTTGTTAAAGAGACTACCTCTTCTCTATTTAATAGATTTTGGCCCTGAGAAAAGTGATGTTTTATACCATTTGTTAGACATTGTATTTATTATCAGCCACTAGAATTGTTAATCTACAACCTGTATGTCAGAGTGTCAAGATTTCATCACCCTCTTGGCAGTGAAACTAGACTGCATTTTTAGCACAAATATTATGGTGTCTATTCCAAGGAGGAAGTTAAATTTAGCACATTTCCTGCTAGTCACTGGACAGAGGAACACCTCCCAGACCTTACCTTGAGTCGCTGTCCTTTCTATCTGTGGACTCACTCCTTATAAATTGCTAGGCCTTTGAAGGACCTAAGTTTATGACTTGAACTGTCTTCATAAATCCAGAATGGTTTTGATTCGGTGGTACATTCACTATGATTTGTTAGTCTCAGCCCTGGGAATGTTAGGAATGCCCATCAGACGGAATGTGTGTGTGTTTGCTGGCACACATGCACGCATGTGGACCTAGCAGAATAAACATGGCATCTGAGTGACCTCCCTTGGCTGCTCCCTAGAAATGTTTGTGTTCTGCTGGTTTTGGGAAGTTTGTTGTACAGCTTTCTGAATGAAGAGAAATGACTCTGGAGTTTCTTCACAAGTGTCCTAGATACAAGGTCCCTCACATCAGTGTCAACATATAGGGAGCCTCAGAATCACTCAAAGAATGTGCCTAAAATGCAGATTTCCTGGCTAAACTCCATACAGATCTATTGAATCAAACTGGTGAATTCAGACCAGAAGTTTGCATTTTAAAAAACTAACAAAAACAATGCCCCAGGTTGTTCTGTTATGCAAGCAGGTTTAGTAATTTCTGCTTCACTTGGCCTGCTTTCAAAGAGGGCAGGATCATCAATCAGTGCAGACATCAAGACTCCAGCATGGCCTTTTAACCAGTTTTTCCTATTAAGGAACAGCAATGATGCTGATTTGCATCAATACATGTTCCGGCTTGCTCTGCACAAATTCTCCTGGCATCAAAACCTTTTGATTTTACCTCCTAACTATGTCTTCCATCTTTTTCCTTCTGTTTGCATTAGCCACAGGCCAAGTCCAAGCTACCAATAGTATCTCTTGCCTGGATCATTGCAGTAGCATCAAAGCTCTCCTTCAGGGACTCATCTCCCTCTACTATCCTTCACAGAACGGAGAGTGATCTTTTCAAATCTCAAGTCTGATTGTAACACTCCCCACACAACTCTGACCCTATTATTGTGATTTTAGGAGGAATAGGACCTGTATGAGCTGATCTCTACTGACCTCCCAATCTCATTTCATAGCTACTGTCCCTGGTATGATGCTGTGGGTTCAAGTTTGAACTGCAGGGTTGGTGTTCAAGCTCACCAGCTGATTCTTGGATACCCTATATAGGGTCACTATGGGTTGGAACTAATTTGACAGCACATACCAACAATTTCCTGTCCCAAGGGCCTTGGGCTTCTGTTCTCTCCACACAGGCTTCTCTCCCTTTTCACTTGCTTTTTCTTAGGGCTCATCTCAGTCATTGCTTCTGCAGAGGGTCTTCCTCATCACTCACGGTAGTACTTTTCAGTTGTGATTTACATGTGCTGTGCTGACCAGGAGCATGAGCTGGGCCTAGTGAGCAAACACTGCACTGATAGGAGAGGGAGTGATGTGCAAGCTGCTGCTACCTCTTGGGGTACCTTCTGACTCAAGAGATCACATGGATTGTTGGAAACTCACTATTATCTCCACCACTCTTGTCAAAGCAACATTACACATCATCACTGCCAGCAGTTTTCACTCATTTCTTTATTAATATAGAAAAGGAGCCCAAAGCAGTTGGACCAATAGTACAAAGCACCAGGAGTTAATACTATACTGGTGAGAGTTAGCTTTATAAAAGTGAGGGAGCAGGTAGGTGCTGCCTTGGCTCTGGGGGACAGGCCCAGCCAACTGCCCCAAACTTCAGAGCAGCACCTGGAACCCGTCCTAGGAAAAGGGCTGACAGGTAGGCTGGAGGTAGGGATGAGCTGGAGAGACTGGGAACATATGTAAAGATGGAGGTCAGGCAGTGAGAATCATCCTGTGGCTGATGAGGACAAGGAGCTCTGCTGATTTGAGGCTCCCCAGTGGACCCTAAATAGGGGCTCAAGATATGCCTCAGCTCTGGGGCAGGTAGAAAAACCCTGTGGATACTAGTGTGTATGGAGGATTCCAGGTAGGGCTGTGGGATTGTAGGGTCTTTCCCCATCTTTCCACCAGGGGCCACCCTTGCTCTAGACTACAGGTGGGGCTTGGGGCCCAAGGCACAGAGGAAGACCAGAGGCCTCCTAGTTGGGAGAACAAGGGGCAAAGAAGGAAGCACTTGTGTCCCTGCTTAGGCAGCTAGAATGGAGTCACAGAACAGGAACACAGCAGTCCAGCACAAAGGGGCTGTAATGAGGACAGAGGTGGGCTTGTCCTTGGCCAGTGACCAGTTGTACTGCAATGGTACCTGCCCAGAAGCTTAGCAAATGGAGTCTGCAATGAGCACTGGGTGCCAGTAGACCTGAGTTCTAGCCTTAGTTCTGCCACAGATTCATATCTCACAGAGCTGTGTGACCATGGGCCAGCCAGGTCCTGCAGTGAATCTCTTTCCTCATCTGTCAGGAAGGCTTTCAGTCGATCTCTAGATTATAAAGGGAATGTGAAAGCCAAGGGAGCTCTAGGCCATGCTCCTGGAGGTCAAATGGAAAATGGTCCCAAGCAGACCCTGGATGGACTGGCAGGGAACAAGGTGAGTAGGTGTGGTAGGAGACGCTTTTGATTGGAATCTATCCCCGCCAATATTCCAGAGCTGGGAATGTCATCTTTGCCCAGGGAAGAAAGGTTGGCCCTCCCTTTGGCACAGGGAGGAAACGTGGCTTGGCGCAATCCCTTCACAACCATCATCTGGATAACACTTGGCATGGAGAGAATGGGGGGGCATTGCATAGCCCTTTATGCTCTTTCCCTGGGTGGCAGCTCAAGGTCTCTTGTGGCTTCTGTCTCCAGCCGTCAGCATGGGGTCAGGAGTGCTCTTTTTCACAGTGGCCCTGCCCTGGGGACAGCCTAAGACTCTGCTTGGCTGACACATGTTAGTTGGTGAGGGAAAGGACAGAGGGGGTGAGTAAGCAGACAGGGAGGTGAGAGACTCTCTCTGGCTTTCTCCTCTTCCTCTAGGTGGAGCAGATCAATCAACTGAATCGCAGATCTCTTCCACCATAGCATTGAAGATGTGTGGCTGGTCAGCATAGACATGGTGCGAGGCACCCTCAATCTCCTGTAGAAAGAGAAACCACCAGGGGTTGGGTGGCCCTTTATTCCAGGGACTAGAGAAAGCTGTCCCATTATTTTATTTTTTTTCTTCTCAAACCTGCTTGTCTATTATTCATTCACCTTTCTCCCTTGATCTTGGCACTTTCTTGTGGGAGTCAACAAATCCCAATATCCCATTCTGCTTCTCCCATGGCCCTTCTCTATACCTCCCCTTCCATGTTAGCCCAGCACCAATCTGTTCAGTTCATCCAGAACTCTGGTCGTATCCAATCTAATTCAACATGTTATTGGCAAATGAAGGTGGAGTGGGGTAAGAAAGAAGGACAGGCACTGGAAAGGTTCAAGAGCTGTCACTACTATAGCAGACTCACAGTCTACATAGGCTGTATGCATGTAACTGGCCTGCCTTTTAGATGAAATGGGCTACATAGCGGTGGGAAGTCCCTAATTCTGGTTTTACAAAGAGAACCACCAACCCTTTCCAATCCACTGCCTCATCTCAGTCTGCCCATTCCTTCCCTTCCTTCTCCTCCTAACACCCCAACTCCTCTATCCTTCTTTCCCTCACTAACCCAAGGCTTATCTATACTGACAAATAAAAATGTGCTGCCATTTAACTCACAGCATTTTCATCTCAACCCTCCACCTGGAGTGACGCCACATACCAAGTCCTGGACATACGAGTCTGGCCGCTGCAGCTTCACTTTTTTGCCTGTGCTGGTATCTATCCAGGTGTTGGCTCCATAGATCATGGTGATGGGCACATCTTTTCGAATCAAATGAATTCGCTCCAACATAGGGCGCCGGGCCCAGCCAAAGGACTCCATCATGGCTTTGAATGCTGTCTCACCACTGGTAGAGAAGAAAAATAGAGTTGTGATGGCTAATAGAATAAACCCTACAACATCAAATGCCAACTTGCTGGTCTCTTCAGTCATTGTATTCCTCTTAGAGGTCAGCATTGGGCTTAATATTGGTAAGATTAGAAGATGAAAATGGAATCTTCAGGGGTCTCATATCACAGAAGAGTTGGTTGTTGGTTGTTGTCGGTAGTATGTCGTGGAGTCAGTTCCAACTCATAGCAACCCTGCATAGGATTTCCAACGCTGTAAATCTTTACAAGGGCAGAAAGCCTCATGTTTCTCCCGTAGAAGAGCTGGTGGTTTCAAACTGCTGACCTTGCAGTTAGCAGCCTGACTCAAAACCACTAAGCTACCAGAGCTCCTACAGAAGAGTTGTTGTTGTTGTTAAGTACCATGGAGTCGGTTCCAACTCATAGCGACCCTGCACAGGGTTTCCGAGGCTGCAAATCTTTCCAGGAGCAGAAAACCTCATCTTTCTCCTGTGGAACAGCTGGTAGTTTTGAACTGCCGCCCTTGAGGTTAGCAGTCCGATTTGTAACCACTACGCTACCAGAGCTTAGGAGGGCATATTAGAGAAAACACCCAAGGCAGGGAGAACGGTCCAACAACGTGGTTGCTGTCGTTAAGTGCTTGAGTTGGTTCTAAGTCATAGCTATGTCCCCGTATAGGATTTCCAGGGAGCAGCTGGTAGGTTTGAACCACCAATCTTGTAGTCAGCAGTCCAGTGTTATCCTATAGTGCCACACCATGATCCAATAATGGAATGAGTTATTTATTCACCAAATCGTTATGGGCTGCGGACTGAAGATAGATGAGCAAGACACAAATGGTGCCTGGCCTTCTGGAGCTTACATTTTATTTTATTTTATTTTTATAAAGGTTTTATTATGGATTGAGTAAAAGTTTACAGGGAAATTACAATGATTTTGAACCCCTCCATGTACCATCAGTTAATAGTATTTCTCTCTATTCACTTTAGCTCTTTTTTTTTTAAACACTCAGGCATATATAATAATTTACACCACCAAAGGGCACATTCTGCATGTCTGCCTCTTGGCCGCCATCTCTTAGTTTGGAACTTACATTTTAGCTTACACTTTAGGGGGGTAGGTATTATATTACTAATTATTTGACTAATTGTTTAACTTTAAAGTTCCCAAGAATTGTGAAAGACTGGCTGAGTGCCATGAGAACATAAAGCAGGGGATGTAACCTGTCTGGAGGTGAGGGAGGGAATCAAGGAAGACATCTGAGCTGAACTCCGAGGAGCAAATGCTATAGAACTTGGTAAGAGGAGCTTCCGAAGCGACCCTGGAATTAAAAATTCAGTCTTACAAGGGTCCAGGGGGAGCAGAAATTTGTACTAAGTGAGAAGCAACAAGTGCCAATTAAATCTACTTTATTCCCTATACATTTCCTTAGGTAGAACTTGCTAGGAACATATTATATGGGGTGGTCTACAAAGCTGGGCTCTCTGAGCTAGTCTGTAGTATTTGTGTTTGTGGAAGGCAGGCATGTTTAAGATACTGCCACCCAGGAGGCGGTGACATGGAGAGACAGAGCAGCTATAAGCTCTAGGCCCACAGATCAAATAAGGCTGTGTGCCTGCAGACAGGAGACTGGCTGGCCGAACATGCCCTTTGGGCATTTAAATGAATATATATTTTTTGTTTTCTATGTGTACATCAAATATTTTTGCTTTGTTCATTTAAAAAATATAAAATGTAAAAGGGAAGCCAAAGGGAGGAAGTAAGAAGACTGCTGATACATGAAGGGGATTGCAATCAGTGAGATGAAACAAAGTGCACCATTTGTTGAATGTAAAGCTGATGATCTCATCTGTAAACCTTCACTCAATTCACAATGTAAAGGTAAAAGAAAAAAAAAGAGAGACTGCCACCCACCAAGCTAGGTCTGCTCAGTGTCATTAATTCCCAGGTCTCCCTCACACTCCTGGGATGAAGGGAGACTGACTTCTCTCCAGGCCACCAGAAACTGTTCCCTTAAGATATCACAGCACAGTGGACCAAGTATGGACTTTGAAGGCAGATAGACATGACTTCAAATCCCAGCTGTTTTGTTTTGTTTTGCTTTTATCAAGTCATATAACCAGAATATACCTTTATTTTCTCATCCACAAACTGGAAAAATGAAAATATATACAAAACCCATAAGTTTGGGTGAAACTATAGATACCCTCCCAAATACTTTTCCCTTGGCCAAATTTAGTGTTTTTGAAAGGGATGGTAACGTTTCTGCACACTTGTCAGGGTTCCAACTTGTAAAACCTCCATGCACTGCCATGGAGTTGATTCTGACTAATAGCCACCTAATAATTGAATGACGGTATCTGAGAACTAGGGGGTTGGTTATCACTGATGGCATCCAATTCACTGATAACATCTTTGTTTCCTCTAGTCCATGCAGGTTGCCTGATTACACATACTGTGGCTGACACTGGGAGGTTGTCTGGACAGAATTAGGTCTGGGGCTGAAGAAAAGACCAGGTTGGACATGTGGGGCCTCCAGGGGGTATGAGATTGGCACTGAGCCCAGTGGGGGCTGAGAGAGGAGTTGAAAGCAGGAAGCTAGAGGACTACCTGACTTGACTGTTGAGTTGAGGGTTTCTATTCTATTGCTTAACTGGGGCCCTCCAATTAGCTGAGCTCCTGTGGAATGTTTGACAGACATTCCCACCCTGCCCAAAAAAAGCTGTCTGGGTTTCAAGCTAGTGCTCAGACAGCACTGTTGGAATGCAAATCCCCACCTTCATGACCATGGACTCACAATGGGAGACGTGGACTGCCTGGAACAAAGAGGGTAGTGCTGTTGCTCCCAGTGACCTTGGCTCCCGGGGGCCTCCTGGCAGCTCAGGGTGAGGTCTCCACAGAAGCAGTGCCACCCACAGTATCAGTCTCTCACAGGGCACTGCCACAGGGGAAGATTACCTCCCTGGCTCTGCTCTGGCTGCCACCATTGCCAAGACTCGGATCAGAAGGTTGGTGGGGCCTGCTGTGTAAACACTCATAGATAGATATGAACTTCTCAAGGTTCCGGGGAGGCTCCAATATCTGGAAGGGAGTTCTGTTCTAGTAAACAGCTATTTTCAAAACACCCCAAATTAAATGTTAAATGCACATTCTTTGGTGTAGCAGTTGTGTTTGTAGGAATGTATTCTACAGTCCCATGTGTGTGCGAAGGTGCATATACACAGATGTTCTTGGAACCATGTCATGTGATAGATTGGAAATATCAAGACTATTTGGGGGAACACCAGGTCTGGGGCAGAAGAAGATTTAGTTTATAACCATCTATGCAGTTTTTTGTGTTTTGTTTTGTTTTGTTCCTTTTTAAAAATACCAGGTTCATATTACTTTTTCAATAAAAAAAAAAAGAGGTAAAAATTTTTAAAGATCTTTTGCCCATTGGCTAACTGCCTATCTCTAGGACAGAGAGAGGTTCTTCCTCTAGAGCTAGGCAGAGCATTTAACTGTCTTTTATCCACAGTTAAGTTTCACCCGCTCCTCATGTATGGACAGAGTTAAGTTCCAAAGACCAGTTCCTAATGTGAATCAGTGTTAATGCAATAGTCACGGGCCACATCCTGTCTTTGGCACCATTTTCGGCACTGGTGTTCCAGGTGCCCCCAGCACATCTCGGGGCACTACTAGTGAGGCAGGACCTCCTTCCCCACCAGTACAGACTCTGTAGATGGCTGGCTGTTGCCCACCACCTCCTGCCACCCACCTTGGGAGGGAGTCCTACTCATCCTCTTCCTACCACCATTTATTTACCCTGGATAGGCATCTTTTGCATTCTCCATCCACCTCAGCCCCTGTAGCCCTGTGTGGTCCCCTTCCCTCTCCTCCTCTTCTCACCTCCCCAGCACCTTAGAGCCCTTTTCCAACCTCTCCCTACCCTCCCATGAGCCTACACCATAACATTGTAGCCTCATGACCTTTGTGGCTGGACCTAGATGTCGTGGATGAATGAGAGAAAGCATCCTGCAGCTAGTCAGTCACCAGCCCTTATGTGGCCCAGTTGTCACCAGCGCCTCTGGTGTATCATTCAGGGTATCCCACAAAGGGTGCCCCAGGACCTACTGTGGCCGTGAGGCCTGAACCACATTGAAGGTGCCACCTGAGAAGATTTTCAAAGTTGTCGTTAATGTAAAATGTCATATAACAATATAGTCAGTAAGTGAGGAATGTTGTTGTTGTTAAGTGCCGTCGAGTCGGTTCCGACCCATAGCGACCCTGTACAGGGTTTCCGAGGGTGTAAATCTTTACAGGAGTAGATAGCCTCATCTTTCTCCTGTGGAGCGGCTGGTAGTTTCGAACCGCTGACCTTAAGGTTCGCAGCCCGATTCGTAGCCACTACGCTACCAGAGGAATAGGTGTGTTAATTTCTATATCCCATTGTTACAATCCTGGTGGTGGTGGTGGGGGGGCGGCTCTTTGGAAATGATTAAGTCTACTTTCTGTGTTCCTCTGAGTCAGGGCTTTGTGGAAGAAGAATGGTCCTGGGCTAGTTCCTGAGGTTCCCAGCAGCTGAAGTTTTAGCTCCAAACCTGTCTACTCCAGCACCTGTCCTTACCTGGGATTCTGTGCATTACAGTGGTAGATATATTCGGATATGGTATCATCTTCAAAAAAGTCTGCAAACTTGCGCTTGAAGTCCGGCCGGAATCGTTGAACCAGGCCAGGTCCTAGAGAGTGAACAGAAAAATATGGAACAGCTAGCTTTAGTAAGAGAACAAGACTCTACGGCTTATGTATGGTTTTAATGACTTAAAACGGAATATTCTTTCTCTTAAAGACTTGCTTGATTCCTTTTTATATTTAACATTAAAGTGACAGAGAGAATGAGGGTCTATTGGGAAACTCAGATACTAAAGGACTAAAAATGACAGTTAATTGGTTACCAAAGAATTTAGAGATAGTTAACATCACTGGTGAACCAGATTATTTTCAGCTCAATGAAGTCCCAGGATCTTGTCCTCCAAGATCTCAAGTCTCACAAGAGTCTATGGTTTACCGGGTAGACACCTGGTTGGCCAGAAGTATAGCAAGACCTGGGAACTCCTGGGCCCAGAGTCAGAGACATAGCCACAGAGGACTAGAGTGGAGAATGAAGCGTTCAACTGATAAGATGTGAGGGGATATGCACAAAAACACCCACACTTGCAGATAATACCCACTTGACCTGGCTGCAATGGCTGGATGATCAGAACTCAACTAGAAGAAGAAAGAAGAGTAAAAAAAAGTAATTTGATACAATTTGATGAACTTGATCTACATATATGGATGTGTAGCTCAAAAGAAGGAACAAATCTTTACAGTGAGGATCATTCCCACCCCCTCGGTAGACAGGGATGGGCAACTTGGAAATTGGCTACCCAAAATGGGGGGGGCTACAAAGGCAAGAAGTGACTGGCTTACAAGCTTTCAAGAGGGAGCCTAGATCCAGCGGGGGCAGATGAAGGTAGAATCGCCACTGAGTAGTATCCAATCTGTCTGGGCAGGGCTGATCAAAGGAGATGGGGATAGGTCTCTGTGGTACAACAGTGAATAATTGCTATCAGGACTGACTGTGAGGGTTGGAAATGTAAAGGTAGACATTTTGTAGTAAAAGGAGGGGAGTGGTTGATTTTGAGTCCAGGAGCAGAGGTCCCTGGGACCATCAAGGGAGAGGAGCAGAGTGCGGGACCCTACCCAGAGAAACAGTGAGGCTAGAGACGGAGGCAGAGACGATGACATAAAGAGATAGAGTGGTTGGGGTCTCTAGACTCAGAGATGGTGAGGGGCTGTATGCTGACAACTGAGGGGCAGGCTTGTGGGGTATACTATTTGGTTGTTTGATGATGCATGAAGGGGATTGTAATCATGGCAATGAAACAATATACGATAGGATGAATGTAAAGCTAATGTTTTTGCACGTAAACTATCACCTAATTCACAATAAAACATTAAAAAAACAAACAAAAAACTATGGTTCAGATGTTTTTCTTTTACACACTGAGATGTTTGTTCTCTTTCTCTGAGACCCTTGTGGCCTCTTATTCTTCTGAAGGCAGCAGATGAAACTAGACCACCTCCCAAGAGCCCTATCGTTTTCAGGTCTGTAAAAGAATACTAGTGAAGAGTGAACTTAACATTGGTATCTCAGGGTATGTTTTAGAGCAATCTGTTCCTTTCACCTTTCTTTATAGTTAACACACAAGCAGTAGGACTTCCAACACGAACTGTAAAAACTGGACCTAAGAGACAAATTCTCATCTTTCTTTCTATTAGTAACAAAAGCAGAGGAGGGTGAGAAGTGGACCAGAAGGTGGAACAAGGATCTACAGGCTCAGTCTGCTGCCCTCCTCCCTCCTGGCACAATCCTCCCTGGATGCCAGTTAACCACTCCAACCAGAATAGCTCAGCTACCTATACATGAACCCAGTCAAATGCAAGACCAGGAAAGGGGAGAGTGGCTAGCACCATCTTTTCCATCTCCCTGGAAAAGGATCACAGTCTACTAGATTCCACAGTGCTGAGAACTCAAAGAAGGTCAGCCCTCTCTGCCCACTTGCTCTTCTTTCACCTGGGTCTCATGCTAGTCTTCCTTTCTCTTTAAATTCTTAAACTCCAAAACTCCTGCCTTCTACCCAAATTATCATTTTTCTTTTATCCAGTGCCATTCTGTTTCTCTTGAAAGGCCTAGAGAGCCAACTCTTATTTAGCCACTAACAATTAATTCCTAACTATTGGCTATTGAGTGTTACTGTATTTACATGGACTCCTGGCATGGGGCTGTAGTATTAGTATGGGAGTGCGAACCAGAGGGTTGGCAGTTTAAACCCACCAGCTGCTCCTTGGAAACCCTACACATGGTTGTTATGAGTGAGAACCGATTCGATAGCACTTAAGAACAACATCTATACATAATCCAGTAATACAAGATGTTGTTGTTAAGTGCCGTTGAGTTGGTTCCAACCCATAGTGATCTTGTATAGGGTTGCTGAGGAGTGGTTGGTGAGCTTGAACCACCTACTTTGCAGTTTAAAATGATTTTGCAGTCCAACTCATTAACCCACAACGCCACACCAGGACTTCATTAATACAAGATAGAGCTCACCAATCTTTTTCATAAAGGGAATATACTTTTTACCAAGAAGGGAAGGGTGCTGACAGCGTGAGACCAGAATGTCAGGAATTATGGACAAAACTCATTAAGCTGGCTTCCCCCACCCTCATCTCCTTTCTTCTGTTTCCCACAGAATTAACTGATGGCCACTGCTAACCAATCTTAAGTGTCCTGGTGTGATGTTGTAAGATCAGCCCTGGACTGTGAACCACAGGGTCAGCAGTTCAAACCCACTAGCTGCTCCTCAGAAACCCTAAACATGGGTGCTATGAGTCAGAACAGACTCAACAGCACTTAACACCAACTGCTAACCAAAAGGTTGGAGGTGTGAGTCCACCCAGCAGCAGTTTGGAAAAAAGGCCTGGTGATCGACTTCTGAAAAATCAGCCTGAAAACTCTGATGAGCACGTTTCTACTTTGACACACATGAGATCACATGAGTTGGAATCAACTGCACAGCAACTGGTAACAAGGAACTAATTGCTAGGTGCCATAGAGCAGATGAACACGTGGTGCCTGCCTGTCGTCAGCCATGGTAGGAGCAGCTTGCCCGCTGCTGTGGATGGGGTTGGAGGCTCTGGTTCTGACTCTTCCTGCTAGAAGTGCTGAGTGAGCTGTGGAGATGGGACTTAGTGCCGCACACCAGGGCTGGATCAGTAACTCTCTGACGTAAGAACTCACGCACGTGGCATAGCAACTCAGGAGAGGAAGAGTCAGTCCACAGCCCTTCCTCTTTATGGAAGTCTAGCCAAGGCATGGGGTCGTTTCTCTGCTTCTTCTGCCCCTTGCATGGAAAGTTTTTCTCAAGCAGATGAAGGAAAAAAGGATCTTCTGAAACCTCAAATAAAAAGATCTAGTCCAGATTAATAGCTTTAAAAAACAATGCTCCGAAGTTCCTAGGCCCATCCCCACTTTTCATGAACAAACATGGATGGTGGAGTCCAGAAGCAGTGGGGTTTCTAGAATGAGTCATCCACCCCTGATTTAATGAGAGAGTTTCTTCTGAAAGCTACTCACCCCAGGGCCCAGCTACTCGAAGAACAGCCAGTGGATTAGAACGCCCTAGGACGGAGGCCACGGCCTTCAACCAGGTTGGCGGTGCCCGGATCTCACTGGGGTCAGTTGGTCGGAGGGGAAAGCCCCATGGGTCCACCAGGATGAGGTGTTTAACTCTACAGTCACACAGGAGAAAGAAGACAAGTTGTATTAACTTGAGGTACCAGAATCCTTAATTACTTGGCAAGGAGAGAGCTATTAGCAAAGAATACTGGGAAGTTTCCAGGAAGACAAGGAGTTAGATCATGAGGGAGAAGGGTGACTCCTCCTTACCTCTCAGGATACTTGATAGAGTAAGAAGTGGCCAGGAATCCTCCTAGACTGTGTCCAAGGAGGATCATATTGGGGATCCCCATGGTCTCCCGCCATGTCTCTATTGAGATCACAAACTCGTCCTCTGCCCCTTCTGGGTCCCTTGGAAATGTTGGCCTTGAGCTTCTCCCGAAGCCCAGCAGATCAAAGGTGTGCACCGTGCGGCGGGCACTCAGTGAATCCATGTTGAGGATCCACAGGCCCACGCCGCCCCCGAATCCATGTACCATCACCAGAGGGGTGCGGTCCTTGAGCTCGGGGCTCACAGTCACCGTCCAGATCTTGTTCTGGTTTGGAAGGGACACATATCGAGCCAGGAACTTGTTCTGCAGACCTGAGGAAGGGAGAGTTCCAGGGAAAATCAGTAAGACTGCTTGCTGATAGTATCATTTGCCTGGACTACCACTCTGCAGAATTCTCTTCCTACTCCCAAACTCTTCCTAACCTCCCTCACCCCTTTCCTTCCATAGCCTTCTGAACACATATCCTGAAGAGTTCAACTCCAAGCTTAATTTGTAGGCCATCTACTCTATAGGACATAGGATGGATTATCTTATTCCCCAATTGCCTGACTCCTTTTGGGCCTAAGGTGGCAGTGCTACCACTGACCCTACATAGCCCATCATTCTATGTGTTTGATGGATGACAGATATGCTGCTTAGGGTGTCTGAGAAGGTAGCTTCTGACAGGAGTCCATTAGGTGGAAGGTCTGATGGTGTAGACTGAGCCATTGGTTTATCTTTCCTATTGAAGAGGAACAGAAGACAAAAAAACAAACCAAAAACCAAACTCAGAAACTGGTAGCTGTGGTGTTATGGGGCAATGTTGGCTCTACTTGTCACAGGAGACAGTGGACAGAGGTCACAGATGAAGTAGGCTGCTTCCTGTGGCTGCTCTGCGGCTGAATTTAGGCTCGTAAGAGAGAAGATGGCTAAGGCTGGGACAGTAGGAATGAGTGGGATAGGGAAGAACAGCTGGGAAAATATGGGGAAACATGGTCCAAAGGTCCTGTTTGAATCAGTAGCTAAGGGCTGCTCATGGGATGACCTGCTCCAACGTAACGCAACACTATTCACGTGAGCTGATCTGTGGGAATCACAAACTGCTGTGATGACCAGACAAGTGGTGAGGCATGGAACAGGGGAATAATATTAAAGAATGCAGGATTGGTGGTCCTTGGGCAGGAAGGTGGTAAATCTAAGAAGCGCTTGCTTGTGTGCAAAAGGAGAGAGGAACAGAAACGAGAATATGGGAAAACGAAGAACATAGGGTGAGAATGTGTGTGCTCGTATGTGTTCATGTATTAAAAGCTGGTATAGCGTAGGAGCTCTGGTAGCGTAGTGGTTACGAATCGGGCTGCAAACCTTAAGGTCAGCAGTTCGAAACTACCAGCTGCTCCGCGGGAGAAAGATGAGGCTTTCTACTCCCGTAAAGATTTACACCCTTGGAAACCCTGTACAGGGTCGCTATGTGTCGGAACCGACTCGACGGCACTTAACAACAACAAACAACATAGTGTAGGAGCCTTGGTGGTGCAGTAGGTTAAGCTCTGGGCTGCTAACCACAAGGCTGGTGGTTCATATCCAACCAGCTGCTTCATGAGAGAAAGATGAGGCTTTCTGCTCCTGCAAAGGTTTACAGTTTTGGAAACTCTTTGTGATAGAGTTGCTACGAGTTGGAATTGACTCGATAGCAGTGGGTGGGTGGGAGGGTATAGTGTTTGTTGTGAAAGTTGTAGCTAGGGTGTGATGGCTGTTGTTGTTAACAAAGTGCTGTTGAGTTGGATCCGACGCATAGTGACCCTGTATAGGGTTTTCAAGGAGCAGCTGGTGAGTTTGAACTGCTGATCTTGTGGTTCAAACAAACCTTGCGGGCCAGTGCTTTATCCCATAGCTCCACACCAGGACTCCAGCATGATAGTTATGGGGATAGAAGTTGAGGAACCATTATCATAGAATATGGTATTCTCTCAAATCACTGCCATCCCTTCCACCCACCCCAAGTACTATTAACCAGGAATCAGTCAGCTCAGTGCACCAGGCCTTGGGCAGATCCTGTACCCACTCCTAGGCCTCCCGAATGAAGTGAAAGAAGCTATCTCTTCTACTCACACTGGAGGATCCTGGCTTCCACATTCTTCAGCTGCGACATAGATGTGGGGCGCCAAGCAGGCAGCCAGCTGCTCAACCAGCCTTGAGGCCTGGGACAGAGAGAACACAGAGATACTCAAGGGCAACATTGGAGGAAACATTGATGCTCTCAGATTTGCTGACAGTTACAAAAATTTTCTCAGGGTTCAGGGTGTTTCCTAGCCTCCCCAGGCAGTCAGCAATTCCCTAACTGCCTGATAGACTGTTACTCTATGTCCCAGTCCAACAGCTTAGCTTGTCCCTTGTCTCTACAGATACTCAGAACATCATGTGCACAACACTTTACAGTTTACAAAGCTCTTTCACATTTATTATCTCAGTTAAGCTTCACAACCCCCTTTGTTAATGGTTATCATAGTTTATGCTCTAGGAGATTAAGAGGAAAAACAGAAAACACTGATACTTCAGTTACTCCTTTGCCATCTTGGGACTAGGTGTTCTTTTAGGACGGGACAGAAAAATTCCCACACCACCTGCCCTGATAGCAGGGCCCTGGGGCTTGAGTGCTCCCGTCTCTAAGCCCCTAGAAGTGCAGAGCATTGTGTAAATGACCAACTGGACACATAGGTAGTCAGTCCAGCCTTACACAAGGAGATAGATGGGGTAGGCTGGGAGCAGGAAATGGGAGACTTAGGTTGGAGTCCTAAGCCAGCAGGATAAGCACTGGACTACTAACCACAAGATCAGCGGTTCAAACCTCCCAGTAGCTCCACAGAAGAAAGATGAGGCTATCTGCTAAAGATTTACTCTCGGAAACTCTACATAGGGTTGCTATGAGTAGCAATCAACTTGATGGTAGTGTGTTTTTTGTTTGTTTGTTTAAGGTTCAGTTGCCTCTGACCTTGTTTTCCAGATTGTAAAATGAGTAGAAGCTCACGTATGTCTTCACTTTCATGGGAGGCAATACAAGTAAGATAGCCCACACCTCCCTCAACACCTGCTTTCTCCTTCATACCCATGAGACTATAAATCTTTGCAGGGTAGAGGTCAAAGAAACTGGTTTTGGAATAAAAAAAAATACCTGAATCTGAATCACAAAACATTTATGAACATAATTAGTTTGTTCTCTTCAGTAACCTGAGTGTCTATATACGTAAGCGAGTTTGTAAGGGGCCTGGTACAAATTAGGTGCTCAGTAAATGGCAATTTTTATTATTCCTTTTTCATCCTATTTATTTCTCTTCTTGAACTCTGCCCGGATAAAGGAAGTTATGGAGTGGACACCCCCAACTATAGGAAGGGTCATTGTTGTGACCACTTTGAAGCCTTGGCTTGCCCTTAGTCACACCTCCTTTCAGAAACAGAGGAAAGTATGGAACTGTGGTTGTATACTAAGAGTATTTGTATATGGCTTTGAAGAGCAGGGGCTGGCTGGAAGGTCCAGAGATGCGGTACTGAGAAACCAGGGTTTCTGATCTGGGTTCCAGTTGGACTTTTTTAACTAGCTGTGTGACCTCTCTGGGCATCAATTGGCTTATTTATAAAATGAAGAGGTGGACTAAATGATTTCGAAGGGCCCATCCTAATTGTAAATTGTGCTTCAAATGATGTATCAGGATGTCCCATGTCCTGATACATCTATGGTAATGTGTTAGGGTAATGGTAATGGTTTCTCTTGTTCCTCCACAGGATGTCCCTGCCTTGACTATGGCAACGCTGCCTGGCCCTTACTATAGCCTGCTCAAAATACTGAGGTCACAATACAACAGCTACAGAATGCAGTCCAAACTCTTTAAAGGCCAACTTCAACTCACTTCTCCAACCTTTCTCTAATCCTCTCCACTCCTAGAGTGGGTCTGAATTAAAATGATCATATTCTTGTGTCTGTACCTTTGTAGACCTAGTTCCTAAATCAAACCTGTTGCTGTCAAGATGGTTCTGATACATAAAGATTGCATAGGACAAAGTAAAACTGCCCAGTGGGGTTTCAAGGCTGTAATCTTTACAGAAGCAGACAGCTACATCTTTCTCCTGCAGAGGCCTGGGAAGGGTTTGAACTAGAGACCTTTCAAGCCAGTAGGGATGCACTTAGCTACTGGTGAAAACCAGGGCTCCTTACTTAGATCCTAGGATACTCAGGCGCTTCCAGTGTTAGTTTCCCTTCAGAGTTCAGCGAAAGCACTGAAGCTTTACCCACACTCTAACCTAGTGATTTCACCCTCCTTGAACATCTGGAATATAATCCAGACTATGTTGCCTTGTTGAATATCTGTGGAAGTATACGGTTCAGCAATGGTTAGGGATTGGGAGCTAATACCTGAAAACTAGAGTTCTAATCCTAGCACTGCCACTTACCAGCAATGTGATTTGGGGGCATAGTATTTAACCTTTTTGTCAGTTTCCTCATCTTTAAAAGGGAGGTAGTAATATTATTGGCCTCATAGGGCTATTTTAAAGATTAAATGAATTAATTCATCTAAAGCACAGAGAAGGGGCCCTGGTAACATAGTGGGTTATTTGTTGGACTGCTAACCTCAAGGTCAGCAGTTTGAATCCACCTGCCACTTATAGGAGAAAAATGATGGTTTCTGCTCCCATAAAGATTTACAACCTCAGAAACCTTATACAGGGTCGCTATGAGTCAGAATGGACTTGACAGCACACCGCAGCAGCAGAAAAACACAAAGAATAAGATCTAGCACAGGATGTTGTTGTTGTTGTTGTAGTGCTGTCGAGTCGATTCCGACCCATAGAGACCCTGTATAGGGTTTCCAAGGAGCAGCTGGTGAGCTTGAACCACTGACCTTGCAGTTCAAACGACTTTGCAGTCTGACGCATTAGCCCACAGCGCCACACCAACAGAGGGTAGACTCCCCTCAAAATTCTTTGTCTACAGATAAATCATAGGTCCTGTCTACATTCCCAATGTTTTGCAAGTTGCAACTGTCAATGACTATTTGAAGTTTGAAAGAAATACTGAGATTGTAGCTGACAGTAGCACATCAATGGCTTAAGCCAGATGACAGCCTCAAGCAATTTCATTCTGGGAGACTCCGAACCCTTTTAATACTCTACTGGAATTCCTTCCAGACTTGGAGCATAAGACCAAGTCCATAGAATTTTTGCCGGTCTTATGGAAAGTACTGGACCACAAGGTCGGTTTCAACTGCAAGATCGGCGGTTCAAACTCACCAGTTACTCCTCAGAAATCCTATACAGGGTTGCTATCAGCAGGTAACTGACTTGACCTTAACAACAACAACAACGTTGGAAGAGGTAAGGCGCCCTAGTGGTGCGGTGGTTAAGCACCTGACTGCTAACTAAAAGGTCAGCAGTTTGAACCCACCAGCTGCTCTGCAAGAGAAAGATGTGGCAGTCTGCTTCTGTATAGATTTACAGCCTTGGAAACCCTACGGGATAGTTCTACTCTGTACCATAGTATTATCATAAGTTGGAATTGGCTTGCAACAGGTTTATTTTTGAAAAAAGAGATGAACTTTCTCTCCACATCATACAGCTGGTGACAAGTCAGACCACAACAGCTAGACCCCACATTGCCCTGTGTGTACCCACAGCAGAACTCAAAAGAAACATTGCCCTATGGGACAGTGGGCTGCTTAGCAGAAATTCTTCAGGGAGCATTTCCTTGCCTTGTTTCTTCAGTAAAAATATTCCATGTAAAGCACCAGAAATGGTGCCTGGCATACTGTATCTGCTCACTATTGTTGGGAGGTGAGGGTGTGGTAGGAGATCGAAACAAGGAAAAGAAAAGCCACTTAGCTATGAATTTAGCCTGGCCAGGGTGGAAAGTTCTTCTAGAGAACTTTCATCACAGTACAGGGTAAGCACAAGGGTTTATGCTGGGTCAGAAGTCTACTTTAGACTTGTGTGATCTTGGACAAGTCTCCTAACTTCTATAGACACAGGTTTCTTCACTATAAAAAGACATCAAGCTACCTGCATCTCTTCCCAGTTTGAATATCCAGTGTTTCCCTGAGACATTCTAGACATTGTAAATTTCCTTGGGAAAAGTCATCTTAGAAAGCAGCTCTCTTGGGCAGTTTCTTTAAGCAACCTCCAAACCAAACCCAATGCTATTGTTCCGACTCATAGTGGCCCTATACGACAGACCCTATAGGACTCATAGTGACCCTATAGAGTAGAACAATCGGGTTTCCAAGGAGTCCTGGTGTGGTGCTGTGGGATAAAGCACTGAACTGCAACAAAGTTGCAGTTCAATCTTGCCAGTTACTCTTTGGAAACCTTATCTAGAGTTGCTTTGAGTCAGAACCGACTCCATGGCACTTAACAACAACAAATCTTCACAGAAGCAGACTGCCACATCTTTCTTCTGCAGAGCAGCTGGTGGTTTTAAACGATGGTTTAAACCTTTCAGTTAGCAGTTGAGCTCTTTAAGCAAGGCACCAGGAAGCTACTCATTACTGCTAAAGTTAATGATCTTTGCAGGACGCCAGTCTGGGGCTCTGAAAAAGGGACCCAGAGAATCCAGGAAAGGCCCTGTCCCTGTGAAACCAAAGGTTGACTGGGAGCTGAGTCATTCTTCTCAAAGCAACTTTTCCTTGTTCCCATCCGACTCCGAACTGTCAGTCACCACCTACAGGTGGCATCCCAAACTTTATACCATTGAGACAGTAGTAACGATTTTTAAAATAGTCCTGATTTTGAAGTCACTGAATCAGAAATACTGTTATGATTACAGCCACTCTCTGTTAGAATGGCAAGCGGCTAAGTGTCTCCATGCACAAGAGGTAATGAAACGTGTACGCCTATGATTCCAGTACAATCCCAGCGGGGGAGATAGCTCCCCTCCACCTTCTCCTGGCCAGGCTAAGGGGCGCTCTTCCCACACCGCCAACACTGTCCTAGAGGGGCAAGTCGGGACAAGCACACCGGGCTGCCACCCCCGCACCTGCATTCCAGACTTGTTTTCAGGATCAGAAATCACCACTAAATCGAATTAAATTCCAGAGTACAGCGACTAGAGAATGAGGAGCAGTGGAAAGTAAGAACCGCTGAGCTGCAGGCAAGTTTATCTGCCACCATTCCCCAAGCTCTGCTACCGCCTCCTTCCTCTGAGCAAAAGCAAAGCAAGCAAACGCGAACCCCAGTCCTCCCCTGAAGCCAACCTGAAAAAGGAAAGGCGGAGAGGTGTCTAAAACTGTTCCTCAGTCACAGACAGTCCCAGGATCGCAGCCCAGAGACAGAGACAGAAAAAGAAAAAGAGACAGGATTAACTCACTGCTGCTCCAGATCATCAGCCATAGTAAACAAGCCCTGCTGTGTCGAGCTGAGCCAGCCCATCCCTCCGCCTGACGCCAGCACCAGCTGACCCAGAAAAGTATCGGATAACAAAGTGGGGCGTGGTTACGCCGCCGCCCGGCCTGGAGGCGGGACCACCAGAAGGCTAAGACAGGTACTGGACCGGAGGGGTAGGGTGGGGATGGAGGGCAAGGCACCCGGGGCTTAGCTGCAAAACTTCACAGGAGTTTGAGATAGTAGAGACCTTTCTTGTTATTTTCTATTACTGACATGTGTCCAGGCAGAGATGTCCCTGCGGGCCTCACAAACTAGGATAGTAATCCTGGTCACACATTTGGGAGGCAGAGAGGGTTCCAGGTAGTACTAAAACCACCTCACAGGAGGCCCATCAACCCTCAGTCTTCTAGTAGTTATTTAAAAAGTGATGGAAATTCCCCTTTACACTTGCAAACGCTCTTTGGACTTCCTTTCCTTTCTAAGACTTCCTGAGTGTGCCTTCCAATTAGATGTTTGTGGGAGCAGACAGCATCAGTAGATGAAGGCTGCAGCAAAAGGCCTAAAGGCTTGTACCCCAAATAGGCTGCAAGATTTAAAATCCAGTGTGCCTAGTTAAACTAGATAAACAACGAATAATTTGCTTAGTAAAATTATGTCCCATGCAATAATAGGGACATAACTGGGTACTTTCTGGCAGAACTAACCCTAAGGAAGTTAGCTGTGGTGGTGGTTGTGTGCTGTGGAGTCAATTCTAACTCATAGCGAGTATAGGGTTCCCGAGGCTATAAATCTTTATGGGAGCAGAAAGCCTTATTGTTCTCCCTAGACGGCTGGTAGTTTGAAACTGCTGACCTTGAGCTTACTAGCGGGACTCATAACCACTATACTAACAGAACTCCTTAAGGAAGTTAGTTATTTGCTGTTAAATGAAATAAAAATAGAGTTGTGGGGTTGGCAAAAATGACACAAGTGGTTGAGTGGGTGGTTGAGTGGACAAGCCCCTAGGACTTGTCTTTACAGAAACTTAAGCCTAGCACCCCAGTAAAACAGGCCATCTACCGTCCCTAACCAATGAAATCCTGATAGCATTTCATTAGTAAATTGTATGCCAATCAGAAGTAAGCTTTCTTTGCTTCTGTGTTTTGTCAATGCAACCCAATAGCTACGGACACTTGGGAGAGTACCTTTCTACCTGTGACTTGATATGACCTAATTCTGAATTTTCTGCCAGAATAAACCTCATATCTAAATCTCATACTATTGACTCAGTTTTTGACATTGCCAATATAGGCATTTCTCTGCTCTAAGATAAGTGTGGTCCAGTCTCAGTTTCCCTCAGTTCAAAGGATCTCCCACCCCAGAAATAGGGGTCTGCTTTAGATAGCTGGAATGGGGTTTGAGGTATAGAGGTGGTATGGGTCTAACTTAGCTCGGCTCCTGAATGAACGAACCTCAAGCTTGCTCAGTACAAAGGCTAAATCTTGAGGTTGATTCCAGTATTCACTCAAACTGGTGAATAAATAGGACTTGATGTTCCTGGAGCTGTCTGATTTGGGGTTGTGGCCTTGGTTCGGTTAAAACCAGACTTAAGGTGGTTGGGTGGGGAGACTGCTGGTGTGGAAGGATTTGCCGAAGCGTTTTTCTTTGTCCTTCCTATCCAGGACCCAGGAGATTCAGAGATTTCTTCTTTCTTGTAACATAGTGTTAAGCTGATCTGAGTATCATTATAAGGGCTTAACGTTAAAGAGAACTGGCATTTACAGAGGTTAGAGGTTGAGGAATTTGCAAGATACAGGACAAAGTACTACAAATAGTAGAAGACCTGTCTCTTTCATTCTTTCAACAAAGTACAGTAATTCTAAACGTCAGTCTGCACAGGACTCCAACTCATAGCAACAGCTTGTGTTCACAGTAGAACTTCTCCATAGGGGTTTTCAAGGCTCTGTGACCTTTCTGAAGCAGCTCACTCAAACTGTCTTCCCAGGCACCTCTGGGTGGGTTCAAACAGCCAACTTTTTGGCTAGTAGTTGAGCAATTCTGTTTGTACCACTCAGAATCATCTGGAAGCTTGGTAAAAAATTCAGATTTACAACCCCTGTCCTCTGAGATTCTATTACTATTGGTTTAGGTTGCTACTAGAAAACTATGTTTTTAGGAAGTAGTCATACTTTGGAGTCTTGGTGTGGCACTGTGGGTTAATGCATCAGACTGCAAAGTCATTTGAACTGCAAGGTCGGCGGTTCAAGCTCACCAGCTGCTCCTTGGAAATGCTATACAGGGTTGCTATGGATTGGAATTGACTTGTTGGCCCTTAACAACAACAACAACATTCATATTTCAGGTGGATGCTTGTGGAGACCCATTGATAATTTAGAAGCATGGATTTTGTGGTTAGCAGTGTGGGTTAAGACCAATCTTGGCTTTCCTACTTATCCACTGCAAACCTGCTGGCAAGTTATTTAGCATCTCTTCATTTTTCTTCTATCTTGTCGTGTCTTGTGACTTATGAGGGTTAACCAAGATAATTCAAATAAACATTTAGTACATTTGTTTATGCTAAAAATGTTACTTAGTATTGTTGTTATCATTTATTATTATTAAATACTTATTCAAAGCCATGAGAATACCATAATCACTTAGTCAATGCCACTAAGAGTACAATTATCAAAAGGAAATATAACCTGTTGTAATTGTAAACATACTGATACTTTCTGTCTGCTGCCACCCTAGAATGTCCTTTTTCTGAAGTAAGAAACACAGGTTAGAATTGATTAGATCTCTCTAGACCACATCTCTTGTAATTGTGCAGAAAAGCATTAGTACTTTGTCTCTGTGTCGCAAACCAGCCTTACATTAAAGGTTAGGTGCTATCCATTTAGCTTGTCTCTGTGTCGCAAACCAGCCTTACATTAAAGGTTAGGTGCTATCCATTTAGCTCTGACTATAGTGAATCTAAAGGAGCTCTGGTAGCGTAGTAGTTACGAATTGGGCTGCGAACCGCAAGGTCAGCAGTTCGAAACTACCAGCTGCTCTGCAGGAGAAAGATGAGGCTTTCTGCTCCCATAAAGATTTACAGCCTCGGAAACCCTGTTCAGGGTTACTATGGGTCGGAACCGACTCGATGGCACTTAACAACAACAATAGTGAACCTACGTACAACAGAGCATAATGTTACCAGTTCCTGTAACATCCTCAGAATGGTTACTATATTTAAGTCCATTGTTGCATTCCACTGTGTCAACATGCATGCCATTGTATCAAGACAAGTGAAGGTCTTTCTCTTTTCCCATGAGTCTCTACTTTTCTTAAACTTTTAATTGTGAACTGACTGAAGGTTTACAGAGCAGATAATCAGTTTTATATTCAACAACTCCTATACTTGGCTTTGTTACATGGTTGCAGTCCCTTCCATGTACCAACAGCTAATAGTATTTACCTCTATTCACTTTAACTATTGCATTTTCCCTATGTCTCCTACTACCTTCATCTTTCCTCTGGTAGCCTTTGTTATATATTGCCTGCCATGTCATCCATGTAAACAGATGTCTACCCTCTAGCCTATGAATAATTTCTCCTCCTCATCCCCAAAGCAGCAAAAGTTATTATTTTTAAAAATATCTTATTATGAATTATGTGATAGTTTACATGGGAGAACATTAGCTTTACATTCATCCTAATGTAGATTGTTTCACTGCCATGGTTACTATCCCTCCATGCATCATCAACCAACCAAAGGGTATACCCTGCAAGCCTGCCACACACACACACACACACACACACACCCGGTCGTCAGCACACAGCCCCTCTCCCTCTCTATGTCTAAAGTCCCCAGCCTCTTCATCTCTCCACGTCATCGTCTCTGGCTCCATCTCTGGCATCACCTGTTTCTCTGGGTAGGGTCCCTCACTCCACTCTTCTCCCTTGATGGTCCCAGGGACCTCCACTCCTAGACTGCAAAGTTAAGCACTCCCCTCTTTGCTACAAAATGTCTACCTTTATATTTCCAACCCTCACAATCAGTCCTGATAACAATTATTCACTATTGTATCACAAGAGACCTATCCATATTTCCTTTCATCAGCCCTGCCTAGACAGATTGGATACTACTCAGTGGAGATTCTACCTTCCTCCATGCCCTCTGGATCTAGGTTCCCTCTTGAAAGCTTGTAAGCCAGTCACTTCTTGCCTTTGTAGCTCCCTGCGCCCCCACTTTGGGTAGCCAAGGTCCAAGTTGCCCAATCCTTGTCTATTCTGTGTATGGAGGGGATGGCAATGATCCTTGCTTTAAAGCTTTTTTCCCTATTTTGAGCTACTGCATCCAAAAAATTATTTGTTTTATTAAAAAAAACCTTTAATTTTTTTTACATTGGTCTCATACAACATTTGTCCTTTTGTGATTAACTAATTTCATTCAGTATAATGTCCTCTAGGTTCCACCATGTTGTGAGGTGTTTCACGGTCATCATTATTCTTCAAGTTTTGTAGTATTCTATTGTGTGTATGTTCCAAAGTTTGTTTAACCATTCTTTTGTTGATGGGCATTTAGGCTGTCTCCATCTTTTTGATATGTCTCATGTAGACAGCATATTGAAGGATCCTGTTTTTGTTTTTGTTTTTTATCTATTCTGCTTTCTCTGTCTCTTGACTGGTACATTTAATGCATTTACATCCAGTGTAATTATCAGTAGGTATGCATTGATTGCTGTCATTTTTCTGGGTGTTTTTTGTGATGCTGCTGGATTCTTTGTTTCATATATTTCTCTATGCTGACATCCTTTGTTTTCTTTTCATTTTCATTTTTGTAGTGCTAATGTTTACTAGGAGTCCTGGTGTCACTGTGGACTAATGCGTCAGACTGCAAAGTCGTTTGAACTGCAAGGTTGGTGGCTCAAGCTCACCAGCTGTTCCTTGGAAACCCTATACAGGGTCGCTATGGGTTGGAATTGACTCGATGGCATTTAACAACAACAAATGTTTACTAGGAGTTCTGGTGTGGTGCTGTGGGTTAATGTACCAGACTGCAAAGCTGTTTGAACTGTAAGGTC